GGTCGGGGGGAGGCGCCGCCCCCTGCCCTGGCCTGATGGGGTGGGGACGGCACCGCTTGGGGCCCGGCTGGAGGCAGCCGCAAAGGGCCTGCCTGGTGCTCTTGTGCTTGTTGGACGTGCGGGAGCTCGATGCCCCCTGAAAGGCCAGAGCCCTGCTCAGGTACCTCGGCCTGGCTGGAAAGGCGGCCCGCCGCCCTCCGCTCGCCCCTTCTTCTGGGGCGCTGTCCAGGCCCTCTGTCCTTGAAATGGCTTTGTATGTACATACATGCACACACGCGTATATATGCACACGTGCACTTGTGTGTAGATGGGTGTGTATATACACACACACGTATATACACACACATGCATGCATATACACACACATACACACCAATATATGTATGTGTATATATACACACTGTATGTGTGTATACACATGTGTATGTGCATGTATATACATGTATAGCTGTGTGTCTTTGTAGACACACATGTATAGTGTGTGTATACATATATATGCATATGTGTGTGCATATATATACATATATGTATATGTATGCGTGTATACACATAAACACATATAGATAGATAGATAGATATGTACACAATCCTAACAACACTACCTTTAGAAAGTTACTCATGTACACAAGGATTTTCAGAATTGATCAAAAACAGTTTATATTGTTAAAAATCGATGAACTTCATTGTTTAGCTTGATTATTTTTTTCAAAATAAAAGAGAGATCCAGGGGCAAATATTTGCCCTATTGAAATGTGTGTGTGTATATATATATATATATATATATATATATATGTTTAAGCGGCAGCCATATATGTGTGTGTGTACATATTTCGTATATATTACGTGTGTGTGTATATATATATATATATATATATATACTGTGTGTGTATGTGTATATATGTGTGTGTGTGTGTGTGTGTGTATAGCTGCAGCTTAAACTTGAATACCAGTCAACCCGTTTGAGAAAGTAAGAAACCAAACATTATCCAACTTTGACCTTACTCACACTGGCTGTCTCTAAATCCTAAAGAATCAGACAGAGAACTTTGGGTATGAGCCCTGCCCTGCCCCCCGACTCAGGAAATGGCATTTACTTGTTTGGCTTTAGAAAAAAATGAATGAAAGTCTTTAATTTTTCACTTGATTTTCTCCACTTTTATTTTAAAAATAAACATGTGCAAACACACTTTCCCCCACACAATAGTCCTGTGTAAGTACTAAACAAAATATTTCCTAATTTCCATTAAAAATCTGCATGGGAGCAGTTAATCAGCTGTTTGAATCAAGATCTCAGTCCTGTTCCCATGGAAATCAATGTCAATACTTTTACTGATTTCTATAGGGCAAATATTTGTCCCTGGAACTCTTTTTTTATTTTTAGTAAAATAATCACACTGAACCCTGAATTTGTTTTTTTTAACAATATAAACTTTTTTTAGATGAGAGTCTACAAATACTTGCATATATGATTAACTATGAATTCTGTGTTGCTAGGAATGTGTTCAAAATTTCTCACATCCATATCTAGAGGCATCTTGAGAGAGCTATTGAAAATGTGATCTCTCTATACCTGGTATTGCGCACACAAATCACTTGCACGTGCATCAAGGCCCGCACTGAGTTCAGTTGGTAAGGATGTGAGGACTCTTCAGTTAAGCTAAAAGGTGTGAGACAAGTGAACGAGAGAGAAAGTATGAGGGCATAAGGTGAGAAAAAGTATTTGAGGAAGAACTATCTGCTTCCAATTAACAGTTACTTGAAAGGACAGAAGATAATCCCTTTCCATAAACCAAACTAATACCCAAGCCCAGTCTACATCTTCATACGGTTAGGCAGGATTTCCTCATGATTGTCTGTGTGAGAGAAGCCTGTAAATAGTCTAGATTGGACATATTTGTCCTCCCTCCAGCTCCTCTTGGATAGGTTAGAATAGCCCTTGCAGAATTCAGTATCATTCTCTGGCCCTGCATGGGTGTGCGGGGCAAGGGGAAGAAACATAGATCTGCTATAGCCCCTTGCATGTTGCTGGAAGGCCAGTCACAATCTCAGCCCCAACTTTTATTGCTCTGAAAGTGGTGAGGAGGAGATGGAACCCTGGCCCTCTCTTCTTTTGTACCAGCCTGATGCAGGGAGCAGGGTTGTTGTTGGGATGCAAATAGTGCCCTTGGTTTCCATGGGGCTCTGTGGGTGAGCAGGGGTCCTGTGATCTTCCCTAAACAGATGCTGCAGCCTGTAGATAGTAGAGTGGAAGAGACTGTGCCTTCACCTAAATCTACCTCTGTTGCTTTGTGCTTTACTGAATATCAGACTCTTTCAGTTATTCCAAGGGAAGTCACAGAATCCTGTAGCTTGAAAAACTAGTCTCAGCAAAGCATCTAAAATAATGGAGAGGGTCAGTCTGGTTTGCCAAGAAGGTGGTCATGGAGCCATAGGTCAACGAGGTCCTTCTCTATTATACTGATTTAATGTGTCTCTAGGATAAAGAGGGCTTTGTTTACCTTCCTTAACCTAGAAACCTGGCATATCTCCAGTTTAATAGCTTTAGGCTGTTTATAGACAATTGGGGGTATTCTGGGTGTGGAATTATCAGTGGCATGTGTGCACCTCTTTTCACTCTCTCACACACAACGGGCTGGATCAAAGGAAAGGAAGGCTTTCCTTTAAATTCATTGAAAGTTGGATCAGGCCCTAATAGGGAAAATATATGAAACTGTCATGTATTTTAGAAAAACAGTATTAGACAGAAATGTGTACCTATGCTAACACACTTTCTTTCGCTAGTACATTTTTTTTAATAGATTGTAAATATTATGTGGGTGATGTGAAATTAAGAGCAGGGAAGCAACAATTAATGTGTTTGTTTTCTTGTGCTGCTGCAAGTGGGTTAAGGAGTGCACTTTAAAAATTACTTTCAACAAATTTATCTTGTTAATGTTTGGTGTTGCTAAAAATGAAAGAAATCAATATTTGGTTTGAGGTTTTTTTTGAGTATTAGTATATGCACTGTGCTTCTCCTGCCCCCAACATGCTACACAGCTACCAACATATAGTGATTTCTCCCATATCTTTGTAAAAGATTCCCAGTGTAATTAACTTTGATCTGCCTACAGCTTAACATTTTTGGTCCTGTATGTTTTGTAGTAAAACATTCCTGCCAAACTGTGAACACCTGGGGTTTTCTTTCCTCCCTTAACCCCAAGTGATGTATTTATTTTGTAGGATTTATGGGGCCATTCACCACTGTGTTATTCCATTGATATACCAAGCAGAGAGCATATCAAACCTGATAAAGCAAAGGTTTTCAAAAGTGACTGTAATGAGTTTAAGTGCCTCCACTTTTGGGTGGTCAACCTGGAGCCCATGAAAGGAGCTTAATTTTCAGAGATTTGGTTGGTCTGCACTTTATAAAAAACAGGTCTTTTTATCTGTGTAGACTGGACACCTCTAAACCTGAGGTGCACCCCAAACATTTTAGAAAATCTTCAGCTTTTGAGCATCTAAGGTAGAGGGCACTGTCTTGGTTTCAAGTCAATGGCCATTTGATCATTTACTTTAGTATAGTGGAACCAATCCTATATAACTGAAAAATGGTGCTAAAAAGAAAAAAAAGTATGTGCTCATGTGGGCACAAAGTATTTCTGAAAACCATAGAGCTTTTAATGGAGATG